CTAAATCAGAAGAACATATTGAAATGTCAGGAGCACTAAACCCTTCATTCGGTGCAGTTCTACGTGTTGGTACATCTGAGTTAATAATACATAAGTTGTAAGTGTCAATTATCGTCAGGAGTTTTCCACCATAAAAATTAGAAGTAGAACTGCCCCACGATTGGTGTTGAGCATTAAAATCGCCCATTACGAGAAAAGGTTTAGGTAAAATTGAAAATAATTGTTCTAGTTGTGAATATATTTGGCATGTAGGATCAGGAATATATAAAGTAACAAAACAGATACCATTTATAATTATAGCAGCTGCATTAATGCCGCTATATACAGGAAGCGAAAAAGAAGAAAAAGGAAGGGAGTTTTTGACCAATATGGCAACACCGCCATATCCGTCAGCTCTATCATCACGGAGACTTGTAAAGCCTGAAATCCTAAAAGGATATCCTGGCTTTAACCAAGTCTCTTGGAGAGCTATTATAAAAGGATTATATTTATTAATCAAATAAAATAAGTCTGATTTCTTGTTTGTTATGCTACGACAGTTCCACTGAATTATTAGGACTTTGTAATCCATTGTGAGAAGTTAATAATTGAGAAAATACATTGTAAATGGCATCGTTGGACGGTGGTAAAGTTGTTTGTATCATTTTCGATTGCGATAACACTTTAATAAGCATGAGAATAATATCAAAGATGGATTGATTATTGTCAATATTATTTGATGATAATGCACAACCATTAGAGGGAGCAGGAATATTATATTCCTTAACTAAGGCTTCATGGGCAGAACGATCATATCCTTGTTGTGCTTTTTGAGGAGAGCGTGGTTTAAGTGTAACTGTTTTTTTATATGATGATTGAATATGTGGTAATGATGATTTCTCTTTGAGGAAAGAAGATTGAAAATGAGATTTATTGGACGGAGATGATGATGTTAATACATCTGAATATAGTTTAGAAGTGGGAGGATGAAATTTTGATGCTTCAGCATAAGAAACACAACTGTGGGCCATTGTTTCTTTAATGGCTTTCTGACGTGCATATTCAGGACATTTCTTACTAATTGCTGAATGAGAACCATTACACAAGATACAAGAAACATTTTCCTCATCTACTTCACATTTATCACCTGTATGATTTTGCCTGCATTTATAACACCGAGGATTTGAACGACACTGCATCTTGACATGTCCGAACCTACAGCAGTTATAGCATTGGATAGTGGGGTAAATGTACAAATCTACAGTTAATGATGTGTAAAACATAAATACTCTTTTTGGTAATATTTGTCCATCAAAAGTAATAACAATGGTTTCAGTATTAATAAAACTTGGTTGTCCTTCATTAATGGTCTTTTTCTTAATTCTTCTGGTTTTTAGAATTCTCCCACAACCTATAGGTACTGATATATTTTGGATTACTTCCTCTTCTGTCCAATCTTTAGGAATACCCCTCACAATTCCCATACGGGTTACATGGAAAGAAGGTATAAATGCCTTAAAATTATGTGTTTCTAAGTGACTATTATTTAAAAATGCATTTGCATTTTCAAAATTTGAGAAAGAAAGCGATAAACGGTTTCTTCCTATTCTTTTGAGGCTACCATTCACTATATTATTTATCTTATTAGTGTGTAAAAAGCGACCAAATGCAATAGGATGTAATGTAGTGTTATCATTAGGATGTGTTTCATTTTTTTGTACATGAACGACATAAGGAGCTACATCCTCGGCATTGTACAAAGTTCTGCTTAAAGTACTGGGTGGAGAAGCAGGTTTAACAGACTCGGTATTATTTACAACTGGTATTGATACTAGAGTTTGATTCTCATCCTCAATACATTGACAATCACTATCTTTAATTTTAGATTCGAGACCTTTGGTGTGCCTCCTTCGTTTTTTATTGCAATGTTTGCAAATGCGACGTTCGCCACGTACTCGCTTACGTTTAGAACTTGCAACGCTAGAACCATCTGTGTCCATACTAGATTCACCCAATATATCAAAACTATTATTAAATGGGATAGTTATATTTGCAGACACCTGGGGGTTGTCCCCCCAGGGTCTATAGGTGGATCCATAATGTCTAATTAATATAGGTAATTTACTTACCAATATTTACAGCAACAAACACTATTACTACAAAATATACAATTATATATACAATCTAATACACAATATATAAATAAGACTAATCCTTATATAATTAAAAATAAAATTAATTTAAAGAAGATCAAAAAACACTCCCGCTTTTTTAAACGTTTCCCGCGCTTTTTCGACCGGGTGTGTGATTCAAGATTGAAATTCAATAATGACTATTAAATAAAGTAGTAGTTTAAGTGATTGATTATCTCTTGTACTTTATTTACTTTTTTATAATCTGTGACATGCTCTTTTTGTTTACATGTGTCAGACTTATATAATTTCCCTACTAGCTTTAAATGTATGGATTTGGTCAGAAAATATCATACCAATGTTCATTTAAATAACGAAATCACAATAGCGCCAACTTAACAAAAATACTGTCAAATGTAATGCAAATGAATGCCATTTAAATTTTTTGTGGAACAGTTCTTTTTATTTTGATGTGGGAATTACGACTATATATAATTAATATTGACTCTAATTCGAAGTAATGACTCTTAAAAATGACCAGATTACGAAAACTGTTGAAAACCTGTGTTCACTATCAATAATATTATAAAATTGAAATCTCAAGGCAATATTATATAAAATAATTAATAGATTTAATAATGTTAGCCTGTGTTTTAAGCTTGCTAAAAAATATTTATTGAAACGTGCAGTTTCATATAAAATTTATATATTTCTTTTATTACATGGTTCACGTTTCAGTGTGAAGTATTTATATTTTTATAATATCGAAAAACTATTTAACTATAACATCAATATAACCCTATCCGTATCCATTTTGAACATCAGGCTAGCCTGATGTTTAAAATGTTGGCTAGCTAATATAACGAGAAAAAGAGGATTTTGTGTAGATTGGTGAGATATTCCTGACCAAGTCGTTTTAGGTAGCTTGTACGAAGTGCGCTCTCTTTTCTCTTAGTTATATACTCTTTGACGTGGTTACAAAAAAGGCGGGAAAACTTGTAACGCGAGGGCGGAAATTTTAAATTCATTTTATTTGTTTAATATTTATTTGTTGCTTCTCCTAGTTTCTTTTACTTATTTCTCCAATTTAAGCCCTCGTGTGTTGTTAGAGGATATGTGCGAATCAAGCGGAGGCAAGTTAAAAAGAAGAAAAAAAAAATACTTCCATATCTGATGAAGAGCCAGATGCTGAGTATTAAATTTACTCACTCAAAAAGAGGACTGTTTAAAGATCAAAATTACCTATATTCTGACACTACTAAAAATGAATATTTTATCCTGTTGTCTCCTATTGAGGGCAACAATGTAAACTTATTGCAAGTCAATTCTATTCTGAGGACTATACCTGGTGTATTCTATATTCGTACTATGGGTCCTACTGCTTTCAAAATATGTTTTCGATCAATGAAACAGGCTAACGAATTTTTATTAAATAAAGATTTATTAGAGAAACATAAACTTCAGGCTAGGATACCCAATAATCAGCTGGAATCTCAGGGAGTTATAAGAGCTCCTACTGAAATATCTGAGGAAGATCTCTTAAATAACTTAAAATCTACTGTAGATATCATCGGTGTTAAACGTTTCAAAAAAAAAGAAAGAAGATGGAAGTTTTCATCCTCTTCCTACAGTTTTAGTAACTTTCCTCTCTACGCAGCGACCTGATCACGTAACGTATGATCATATTTGGCTGGATGTGCGTGAATTCATATAGACCTCTACTCCAATGCTTCATTTGTTACAAATTTGGTCATTGAAGCAGTTCCTGCAGAAGTAAGCAAGTTTGTTCCATATGTGCCGGTGCCCATGATTATAGATCCTGTATCAACAAAGAGAATCCTAAATGTGTTAATTGTAATGGACAACATGTAGCAGTATCTAATAGCTGTCCCACTAAATCGATGAAATTGTCTCAAATCAAAGATAAAATTCTAGGCAAAACATCTTATGCATCAGTGACTTCAAAATCGGTTAACTCTATAATTAATTTAAATACCCCTGTGTCTAGTAACAGCTCAACGCAAAATAAATCTCCTTAAAAAAAGGGCATTAGTTACTGACATCATTAACTCAGACATTGTACTCAACACAATTACTAAGACTGTTATTGAGCTAGTTAAGAAAGCTCAAACTAATTCTGATACAATTTCATCCAAATTAATTAAGGAAATACTCATATCTAATTTTTCAACATGACCATTATATCTTTAAAGGAAATTAATATTGTTCATTGGAACTCAAGAAGCTTTCTGTCTAAAATATTTCAATTTAAAAACTTTATTTACAACTTTACATAACATTTTGATATCATTTTACTAAATGAAACTTGGTTTGATTCTAACAAAATCTGTAAATTGTCTGGTTACAATATTGGTTTGAAAAATCTAATGTTTTTCTTGGTAGACAATATTATACTACATTAAGTAGATTGCGGATAGGTCATTGTAAATTTCCTGCACATTTGCAACGTATTAATTTATTGGATAATTCTATCTGTAAATACTGCCAAAACACTTTTTCTGATTTGGATCATATTTTTTTTGTTTGTCCTAAATTCTCACTTCAACGGTTACTTTTTTTTTTGTCAATGTCAAGATTTATTAAAATGTCAAAATATTCCTACTTCAGTGCAGGATCTACTAAAACATACCATTTTGTACCAAGAAATTTTTAATTATATTACTTCAACAATTGGTGAAATTTAAATATGTAATTGTAACTTATACTTTTCTACTTAACTTACTTTCTTAGTATATTATAATTAATTTATAACTATAATAATTTTTGCAATTTGTCTTGTAATTTTATATTGTTACCTTGTAATTGTTACTTTTTGGCTGATGGCTTTCGCCAAAGTCACAATAAATGAAAAAAAAAACTCTTTGACGTTTGTTTTTACGTGTTTACTAATTATTCTTTTTAAAGAACAAAATTTTTATCCAATTAATTATAAGATCAATAGAAATGATTCTGGAATATTTATTTAAGTTTCATTTTGACGACTGCCTAAATATTTTATCAGGAACAGATAACTTGGAATATTATAGTATTAAAATAGAGTGAGGACTTGTAACCACTTTTGTGATTATTTTTAACATTTCAATGTTTTATTTTGTTTCTAACATTATTTCAGTTTTTTAAAACTCTTTGAAACTTATCCCGATGTTGGTGACAAAGTATTATGCAGTCCTGTAGAAAGCTTACCGGTTTGTAGACAAGATATAATCAAGGCACAACAAAATATTCTTGAAGAAGAAGAATATAAAACAATAATCAATAAATTAAATTACAAATTTGTGAAGAAAAATGTTCACGCTAGGTTTTTCGGTTTACCAGTTTGTCCTGAACTACACAGGACAGTTTTTCCCAAAAATGTGGATTTGGGATGTTTTCTAAAAGTTACAGGTAGGTAAAATAGATTGGTATATAAATTGTAAATTGTACTCAAAATGTAAATAACATGAATGTGATATATATGGCTACAGTCATATTTCCTATCTTAAGATTGATATGAATTTATTGAATTAAATATATAATTATATATGATATTTTAATTTTGTCTCAGAATGGTATACATCAGTATAAATTGCATTTCAAATTGGGTATAAATTTATAAAAAAATGATTGTCCAAAATACTTATAATGTAGTTTATTTGAGTAAAAGGCATTTTTACTTATATTTTATATATTTACAAATTGTATAAAAATATAAAAAGTATATTATTAAAACATATAATTATAGTTACATATTTTTTGTCCAAAAAGACGATGATGATCATCATCATATCAGCCATTGACTGTTCACTGCTGAACACAGACCTCTACTATAAGGAGAGGTATTGCCAGTTACCACACTTGGCAGGTTGACAATTACAGTTAGGATTTTATTTAGAAAAAAAAAAATGATAGTTAATAAATAATCAATAATGAACTATCAATTGTATAATAAAAAATGGTCATGTTCACAACATTAATACTAGACATAAGTATAAGCTTGCTGTTCAAAATAATTGTTTATAAAATTAAATAGATTTTTTTGTGGGAATGGTCACTGAAATTTATAAGATTTCTAAATATCCATTGGATCTACCTTTCACCAAAATTTTAAAGTTTTATTAAGAAACAGTAAATGAATAAGGTCTATACTAGACCTATTACTTATACTAATACTAAACAATTGCTCGCAAGCCAATATTCTTGGCATGAAAATTACAAACTTCAGTTTCTTGCCTGTTTTTCTCAGGTGATATTGCATTGTAAATGGGTGATAGATTCATATAAAAATGTCTGTTCAAAAATGCTTATAATTAAGTTTACTTGATTAAAAATATTTTTAATCATGCCTTACTTGCATGTAAGTCTTTAATTAACATTTATTCACTATGTTTTTGTTTTATATTAAATTTTTAGGTACAGTGGTGAGGGTAACACAATCTAAAATGCTTGAATATCAAAGAAAATATATTTGTATGAAGTGTAAGTTTGAAAATAATGTAGAAGCCGAGTTTGAGTATAGATACATATTAAAGGCTCCGTTAAAGTGTGGTAATACAGATTCCAGATGTAGATGTGCTACATTTACACAGGTTCATCTAGTTTCAAGAGAGCATTGCAAGGATTATCAGGAAATAAAGATACAGGTATGTATATGTACGAGGTTTGTCCGGAAAGTACGTATAAAAGTTTTTTAAAAATTTTATTTTACAATTATTCAGGTAAATCAATTTTATCCCCTTCAAAGTACTCCCCCTGTGACATAATGCACTTGTGCCAACGCCGTTTCCACTGTGAGAAGGCTCCTTGAAAGTCCTCTGGTTGTAGGTTTCTCAGCTGCCCCGTCGTAGCTTTTTTTATCTCATTTATGTCCCCCAAATGCCGCCCCCGAAGTACCAATTTGGTTTTTGGGAACAAGAAGAAGTCACACGGGGCCAAATCCGGCGAATAGGGGGGTGTTCGGTCACCGTAATGGAATTTTTACTCAAAAACTCACGGACAACAAGAGAGGTGTGGGCAGGGGCATTGTCGTGGTGAAGAATCCAACGCCCCTCTCGCGCCAATTCTGGACGAACTCGTGCCACACGAGCTTTGAGGCGTCTGAGCACATCGACGTAGAATTTTCCATCAACTGTCTGGCCTGGAGGGACGAATTCTTGATGGACAATCCCCCGAACATCGAAAAAAACAATCAACATTGTCTTGACATTTGAGCGGGATTTTCTTGATTTTTTTGTTCGTGGTTCCCCGGATGTCTTCCACTCTTTGCTTTGGGATTTTAATTCGACATCAAATTGCTGCAATGCGCTGCTCTTCAACGGAAGCGGGCTCCATGCCGACGGGGTTTCGTTAAGAGGTAACTTCACAGATGGCGTGACAAGCCAGTTCGCACCGCACGGCGGTCAGACCAGAACTGAAGCATTGTTAGGGACATAAGGAAGGGGTCCTGCGCTTACCTGGCCTCCCCACTCCTCTTTCTCGCATTCCAGAACACTTTTATACGAACTTTCCGGACAGACCTCGTATATAGCTATAAATGTTATTTTAAGGTAAAAAATATATTTATTTAAATCTCTCAATCAATGTATAATATAAAAATATTGTTTTTCATAAACATTTTCAAATTGGTATATCTTTAATTATCCTGGAATCTTTTATCTTACTTCTTATACCTATACCTTGTATACCATTGTTTATTTTGTATAGAATAATTGATTGAATTTGTAAATCTTTAAATTTTATAATAATTATTTGATTTTAGGAACAGGTTAATAAACTAAATATTGGTACTATACCAGGTTCCATGTGGGTAGTTTTAGAAGATGACCTTGTGGATTCTTGTAAACCAGGTGATGATGTTAATATATGGTAAGTTTTTGATAAAATGAAGACTTAAAATTGTTATTTACAAAAAATATATATATATATTTTCAATTATTATTGTAATTTTATGATCATGTTGCTTTAAAAAGTTTCATTTTTTTATTTTGTCTATGATGTTGGAGTTATTTTCAGTGGAATAGTACGTCGCCGATGGAGGCCAACAGTCCAAACAAAGAAGGCTGAAGTAGAATTGGTCCTGCAAGCAAACTTTGTTGAAGTATGCAACTCGCAGAGATCTGAGGTGGTGGCTACTGCTCCAGATATTAAAGAGTGCTTCAATGACTTTTGGTCTAAATTTGAAGCCTGCCCATTAAAAGGTCGAGACCAGATTTTAGCCTCTGTGTGTCCACAGGTAATATTTTTAATGATGATATTTAAAATTATTATCATTTCATTAAACATTATCTAAAGCTGGACACTAAGCTAATATATTTCCATAAAAAATGAATGTCACCCGAATCCACTGACTGAATGATATTTACATATAAAAGTTACTTAGGTTACTTGAAATTTTGTACATAATTTGTGTTTCTCAATTAGTCAAGCCAGTGAATTTTCATTTTGTTCTTACATTTTCAATATTTATTAGTGTAAACACACTCAGAGTTCTTTATGAACATTTTAAAAGAATTATATTGTTATCCAACTGCACTCTATTATAATTTTGTCAATGTTGAATACAAGTAAATTTACTTTGATATAAAAGGTACTTTGAGAATGCTTCTTTAGCAACTACAAAAGCTTAAAAAATGACATTTTAAGTTGTTTTATTTTTAATTTTTAATAGCCAATTTTATTATTTCAGGTGTATGGATTACATCTAGTAAAGCTCGCAGTACTTCTCACAGTGATTACTGGTTCAAATCACATTACTGAGTGTGAAGAAGAGAAGAAAATTTCACAAGATGAAAAGCATAGTACAAGAGTTCGAGGACAATGTCACTTGTTATTAGTAGGGGATCCAGGTGATAAAATAATTAATACATTGCAATTACATATTGTTTGAGAAACTACATTAATAAGTGAATTCCTGTAAAATATTTTTTTTTATTTGCTAGCAATGTGGCTGTATATATTATTTGAAGTTTTCCTTTTTCTTACACTGATGTATGGTACTTTGTTCTTTTAGTCATTTCTTATGACATATTATTATTCTGGAAATGTTTTACCATATTGTTTTCTTTGTTAACTTTTAATTTGTAATATATGTTAGCTTGCGTAGGTCAATTTTTACAAGCTATAAGAATCATTTAATTGAGATCTAATTGAGCTGAAATTTTGTTCTTTAGTTCTGCACCCCTAGACAAGATAAAAACAGTTCTATTAATAAAATCGCTTCGGTCAATCAAGAAGCGCACGTCACCATTTCATGTTTCTCCTGGATTCGCTAGCGATAATGATTTAATAAAAAGATTCCTTTGTAGTTTGTCTAAGGAGGCTGGTAACAATGTAATACTTAGAATTGTAATATTTATAAATGTCCATCGCCACTAGATGACAAATAATTTATATTTTATCAACACCGTTAATATAGGTATGAAATTAAAGAGCTTAAAAAGTCGATAGGTAACGATAAAATAAATGGCATTATCTTATCATCTTAAAATGGCCGTAGTCACAAGATTGCGGGTTACATTAAAAAGCTTGTTTCCAAACAGATTTTTTTTATTTACAGGTACGGGCAAATCGCAGTTACTTCGTGCGAGTGCGGAGTTGACTGCGCGTTCAGTATTCACATCTGGCGCTGGCAGCACGCGTGCTGGTCTCACCTGTGCCGCTCTCAGGGTCAGGGCAATTTTTCTTTATTTTTTATATTTTTTTTTATAATATCAATTAAACAGCCTTATATTTTGTTAAGTTACTTATTAAATTCTTATGATTTTTCTTTATATATTTTTTTATAATTGTATCCAAGTCTTTTAAATACTCACTTATGCTAAGTTGAAAGTACTATAATTTAAGATTTATATCATGTCCATACTACATTAACAATATTTTTTACAATACGATATTAGTATTGTAATGAAATAAAGCAAAATATGTCATCCAAAATTAGAATTCACTTTTTGAGGTTTAAACTCATTGTACATACTACTTATTGCCCTTACAAATACACATAACTACTGCTTTTTATTTCTAGAAAAGTGGAAAATGAATCTATAGATTGATATTTTGTCGTTGCTGTATGCATGAGACAGAACAAGACATTAATACCCAATATCTTATTTATTAAACTAAATGTATCTATCGATTTGTCTTTGCCATTTCTCTATAATAGCTATATTGAATATTGAAAAAGAAAATCGATACTTAAAATATGTTTTTATTTTTTACTGTATTAATAGGAAGATGGTGAGTGGCAGCTTGAAGCTGGCGCGTTGGTGTTGTCAGATGGCGGCGTTTGCTGTATTGATGAGATATCACAACTTCGAGAGCATGACCGAACTGCCATACACGAGGCCATGGAACAACAGACTATATCTATTGCGAAGGTAATTATCATAAACTACAACTAACTGAGCCACATATCTAACAGCACTTCTGGTCTTGCTAGTGTTTATGGGTTGATCACTTATCATGACTGCATGCTCGTTTATCGCCTACCTCATACAGTATCTAATTACTTCAAATCTTAATCTGCGTATTATAAACATTCAATACTCTGTGAATTCATTTTCAAGTGATGCACTTATCAACAAACTGCATTAAAAGCAGCACTTAAAAGTTAGAGCACCGTTTTACTTAATTATTTATGTCATTCGATTTAATAAATCCAAAATGCATTAGTATCAATGGAACAACATCTTTTGACAAAGAGATATAAATATAACTAAGAACTTTCTATATTAAATCAAACATGTGATTAAGTGCCTGCAAATTTTATGTAAAATTTTTGTATACTGGATTTTCACAAGGAAAATTAATCAGTTTAAAAACACGAAATCGAATATGATAAACCTATTATAATTATCATACTTTTATTAAAGAATGTAAAAAATACGTTGGCTAGAAGGTTAAATTTATAATTTTAAAAATATTTTATTTTCAGGCTGGCATAGTGTGTAAGCTGAATACGCGATGCGCCGTCATAGCTGCCTGCAATCCTAAAGGTCATTATGAGACTGACCAACCACTCAGTGTCAATGTTTCATTGGGCACTCCACTCTTGAGTAGGTAAGAAATTGTATGTTTTTTATAGTTTATTTTGCCAGAGGGAGACTTTGTACAAAAGTCGATTGCTTGGGTACCTCTGTCCCATTCGTGTTTCAATCGTGTAGCAGTTGTGTTTGCATGGCTGTGTTTCGGTTTGAAGGGTGGGATATGGCGTGAATTTACTGGGTACAGAGGAATAACACCTGAGTCCTCAGGAGTGGCAACGCTTGGGCGAAACAGTATACTCCGTTATGCCCATGGTACTGCTCATGTCTATAAGCGATAGTTACCACTTTCCATTAGATGGGCCGTCAGCTTGTTTGCCGTTCTAAGTTGTATAAAAAAAATGCTATTTGAAATGGCAAACAAGCGTTTGCATTGGATGGAAAGTGGTAACCATTCCCTGTACATGAACAGTATCATGAACATCATGAAGTATAATACCACTAGTTTTTAACCATGAGACTTTGATAAAATTAGCTTATGTCTGGTTCTATCTTACATACAAAGTGCTAAAAGGTAGCAATCACATAATCATATGATTGTAAATATTTACAATATTACTACTGTTTAATAATAAAAACTGTCTTTATTGAATAATAAATTATACACATAGTTAGATCTACTAGTCACCGAACTAGGCCGAACCTGTAACTCAGTGGATAGTTTTTTTAGCAACTAAAAATGTATATCAACATTATATTTTTTTTTTTTTTTATATTCTATACAATGCACTGTATTTAGTTATTATATTCATTATTTTTTAGGTTTGATTTAATATTTATATTACTGGACTCTAAAAATAAATCATGGGATAAGCTTGTTTCGTCGTATATTTTGTTTGGTGGTTCTGGTGCAATGGATAAAAAAAGATGGAATATAGAAAAATTGCAGGTATTATATTCATCAGTTATAATTAGAAACATATTTTAAGTAACAAAAGAGAGTGGAAGTTCTCAATATATCTGTATTTTTGTGTATTTATTATCTGGCATCTTTCACTAATTGGGAATCAGTTGGATGTTGTTCTTTTTCATTAGTGTTATATACTTTTTATGCTTAATTCTTTTTATATTTCATTGTAATTAGTTCTTGGCTGGAAATATATTATTCTATTTATGAAATTTTGTTGTGATAGTCAATTGGACTGGTAAAATTAGCTAGAGACCCATCCTGAACAGTGGAATGTTAACGATAATAAATAATTTTCAGATGTATATAAGTTTGATAGGACCAAAATATGCAGAAATGACACATTCAGCCAATATTATACTTCAGTCGTATTACATGATGCAGCGAAAATCGGAAAATAGGGATCCGTCTCGTACAACAGTTAGAATGTTGGACAGTCTTGTCAGGTACTTTAATTTATAACATTACTATTCGTCTTACCACCCACTTTGTTAGTGTGGAATTTGCAATTTGTAATAATTTTAAAAAATTGTCTTTTTTTACTCAAGGTTTGAGGTAACACTAGCAAAGTAACATTACTATAGGGAGACTGCGTACAAAAGTCGTTTGCTTGGGTACCTCTGTCCCATTCGTGTTTCAACCGTAAAGCAGTTGTGTTTGTATGACTGTGTTTCGGTTTGAAGGGTGGGATATGGTGTGAATTTACAGGGAACAGAGGAATAACACCTGAGTCCTCAGGCATGGCAACACATGGGTATCATGGGTGAAACAATATACTATGTTATGTCCATGGTACTATTCATGTCTATAGGCGACGCTTACCACTTTTCATCAGGTGGGCTGTCAGCTTGTTTGCTATTGTAAGTAGTATAAAAAAAAGAAAAAAAAAATTGTGAAAATTGCTTCAGCTTTATTTTCATATTTATGTTAGTTAAGATTATAGGTTCTTAATGTGGATGATAACGCCCCTTTAGATGCTTAAGACTTTCAGGAGGGCAGTAGAAGACTTATAGAAAATAAAGTTGAGAAGCTATAGTTTAGATTGTGTATCATCCTAGCATTCGATATGGTATATCTAATTATAAAATGAGGTTAATAATCACATATAATGTGTAAAATTAAGTTAACATTTATTATTCATATAAACTATTATAAAACGCTATATATTTAGCATATGTAAATAGCGTGAATTTACTGGGTACAGAGGAATAACACCTGAGTCCTCAGGAGTGGCAACGCTTGGGCGAAACAGTATACTCCGTTATGCCCATGGTACTGCTCATGTCTATAGGCGACGGTTATCACTTTCCATCAGTTGGACCGTCAGTTTGTTTACCATTCTAAGTTGCATAAAAAAAAAAATATATATGAAAATTTTAATATAGAGTGCAGTTAGATTAAATATATTCCATACTTTTTATACTTTCTATGAGCTCTATGTTCCTGATTAGGAATAAAACGAAGGCATCATCAATTTCACACTTTTTATCTGGTTTTTCTTCCAATAACTAATTACTTGCTGTTGTGTAATAATAATTTAATATTTTTGTTTCCAGATTATCTCAAGCTCATTGTCGATTAATGTATCGTTCAACTATACTACCCATGGATGCAATTACAGCAGTATCTCTTGTAGATTTGTCTATGCAAGATTGCACTTTGAATGATACAGTAGATGCTTTACATACAACAATCCCAAAATATTCAGATTTTGAATACTTACGTACAGCAAAGAAACTCCTTACTAGCCTCAATTTACTAGATATATGGAGAAACGAATTATTATATTATGGAAAATTGCTTCAAGTAGATCACAAAACTTTAGAAGCAGATATAGATAATGGCAATTGTAATTTATTTGAAAGATTTGATGACATTACTGATGAATCTTTGCCTGTTTCAGCATCACTAGTTACAAGCTCTTATTTTAATAATGACAATAGAAGACAAGTTTCTGAAAATTATTTTAATGAAAATAGTAAAGGTGACAACCTTCAAAATAGGTTTCACAGTGAGAGATTAGCAGCTACATTAAAAAAACATGCGACAATGAATAAAATTGAGAAAAAGCCGTCAATAGCGCAAAAGAAAAACCGAAAACGAAAGGAAGTAACAGTTAATGTTAGTCTTATTAAAAATAGGAATCCTAAAAGGTTTAAAAAGGGTAAAGATATAAGTGAATCAGGTAGTATTTCGGATAGTGAAGAAGATACAAATATTTTATTGGATGCAGTTCCAAGTGTAAATGATGTATTTAAAGATTTAGAAATTAATCTAAATTTTGATGTTAATGATCATAATAAAAATAATGGTAGTCCTAAATTAGCAAATAAAAAACAATCAAGGATGTCATTGTATGAAAATAATGACAATATAGAAATCGAAGAAAATCATGAGAGTAGCTCTCAAAATGTAATAGTTAATAATTGTGAAAATATACATCAAAGCTCAAATTTAAAAGAAAATGTTGAATCAAGTAACATATCTAAAACAAATAAACAAAAAATTCAGATTGATGAAAGTAAAGCATTAAATATTTCAAATAAGTTAAAACAATTTCAGTTTTCTGAGAAACATGATCTTAGTAAGTTCTATACAGAGAAAATAATTAAAATTGAATCTGATGAAACTGTGATAAAATTAGAAAAACTTGATGAAAGTCATTTAAGTGAATCATCAAGAAAGAAGGTTGCAAATTCACAAATATCTATGTTTGAGAGTTCAGACTGTGATATTGATTTAGATATTTAGGTATAAATTGTTAATCATGCCATTAAAGTGATATTTTGTATTAAAATACATAGATATGATAACATTATTATTATTTATTTATTAATATAAAGTTATTTACAATTTAATTTTTTATTAAGTTTTAAGAGTCTATTTCTGTGGAACCAATTTTGTATGGATCTTCTTCATAATTTTCAATTAATAAATTCTTAAATCTTCTTGCAGTAATTCCAATACTATCCTCTTTGGCGACTATATTTAATATTTCTACACGAGCCACATACAAATGGTCTGGGTTGTTTGGACTAACCATTTTTATAACATCTATTTCATCTCCTATTTTGATCTATAAAGAAAATATAATAATATTATTTCTAGAATACTAGAGTTCATTTTGGTACATTATTTTAAAACAATCTAAAGGGAGGTCTTAAAGGCCACTTTGTGCATATTTCTCATCAAACTACTTTATTAAAAATAATTTAAAATGGACTTTGAGTTGGTGATTTAGCATAATATAATTTGATTCACTGATTAAAAAATTAGTTAATATGTTAAAATATCTATACCTTAATTTCTTATTTTTTTATGTATGATAATGAAATGGTATTTTATCCTATGCTATCAGTATAATTTGATTACTTAATATGAAAATTTCTGATATCATGCAAATGCTTATTTGATAAACAGGACAATTAAAATGAACAACTTATTTGGACAATCTTACAGAATGTATAAATAATTCAAATATTTATTAGGTACTTACTGAAACACTTTTCTTGAGTATCTTTTTCCCATTTATTCTAATTTTGCTTTCATAAAATATCTGTTCTATTTTACTGAAATAAAAATATTTAGTTGAAATGTTAATTAATAAAATCAGTACAGCACCTAAATATACTATGATAGGTTGTGATTAAAAGTGGATTGGAAATATGTTTGCCATATTAATTTCAAAGCACTCACTTTCTTGCTACTCCTAAGGCGGTTTTAAGTATAGCATCTGTTCTCAAGGAAGTGGTAGAGAATTTCATTACTTTTGAATCTTTCTTAAGAGACGAATCTCCATCATAGTCTTCATCTTCATCATCTGAGTCATGTCGATTTGGCTGTAAAATAAATTTATCAACAATCAAGCCCTGATAAATGCAGACAAAATATTGCATTTTCTTACATACTTTTTTTTCTGTATATATATAATTTTATTATTAACTATTATTAAAATGTAATGGTAAAATAGGAAAATATTAAATTGCTAAGGGTTTAAGTTCTAGAAATTAACCTACGGCAGCCAATCCAAATATATTTTAATTTTTCATCTCGTATGATTACCTTGTAATTTCGTATTATTATGCTAAATAACAGTGATATACATACAAACCTTCTTAGATTTATATCGAACAATATTAACATAATTTAAATTATCGCTTAATAAATTTGAGGTTATGTTTATATTTTTATTTACTAAGTGGTGTAGAGATTTATTTGTTATATTTTGTAGTTTTGTGGTGCGACGAATAAAGACAGGATTTATGATACGTCTCCATACGTAGTTCATTATGTTAAAAAAATAAACATTAATCAAAATCTCAAAATGTTACACAACTAAAACCCACCTAATAAACTGACATTGACAAGGCATAGTACGTGTTGTTGTCATCAATATAATTGTCGAAAAAAAAAAAGCGCGGGAAACGTTTAAAAAAGCGGGAGTGTTTTTTGATCTTCTTTAAATTAATTTTATTTTTAATTATATAAGGATTAGTCTTATTTATATATTGTGTATTAGATTGTATATATAATTGTATATTTTGTAGTAATAGTGTTTGTTGCTGTAAATATTGGTAAGTAAATTACCTATATTAATTAGACATTATGGATCCACCTATAGACCCTGGGGGACAACCCCCAGGTGTCTGCAAATATAACTATCCCATTTAATAATAGTTTTGATATATTGGGTGAATCTAGTATGGACACAGATGGTTCTAGCGTTGCAAGTTCTAAACGTAAGCGAGTACGTGGCGAACGTCGCATTTGCAAACATTGCAATAAAAAACGAAGGAGGCACACCAAAGGTCTCGAATCTAAAATTAAAGATAGTGATTGTCAATGTATTGAGGATGAGAATCAAACTCTAGTATCAATACCAGTTGTAAATAATACCGAGTCTGTTAAACCTGCTTCTCCACCCAGTACTTTAAGCAGAACTTTGTACAATGCCGAGGATGTAGCTCCTTATGTCGTTCATGTACAAAAAAATGAAACACATCCTAATGATAACACTACATTACATCCTATTGCATTTGGTCGCTTTTTACACACTAATAAGATAAATAATATAGTGAATGGTAGCCTCAAAAGAATAGGAAGAAACCGTTTATCGCTTTCTTTCTCAAATTTTGAAAATGCAAATGCATTTTTAAATAATAGTCACTTAGAAACACATAATTTTAAGGCATTTATACCTTCTTTCCATGTAACCCGTATGGGAATTGTGAGGGGTATTCCTAAAGATTGGACAGAAGAGGAAGTAATCCAAAATATATCAGTACCTATAGGTTGTGGGAGAATTCTAAAAACCAGAAGAATTAAGAAAAAGACCATTAATGAAGGACAACCAAGTTTTATTAATACTGAAACCATTGTTATTACTTTTGATGGACAAATATTACCAAAAAGAGTATTTATGTTTTACACATCATTAACTGTAGATTTGTACATTTACCCCACTATCCAATGCTATAACTGCTGTAGGTTCGGACATGTCAAGATGCAGTGTCGTTCAAATCCTCGGTGTTATAAATGCAGGCAAAATCATACAGGTGATAAATGTGAAGTAGATGAGGAAAATGTTTCTTGTATCTTGTGTAATGGTTCTCATTCAGCAATTAGTAAGAAATGTCCTGAATATGCACGTCAGAAAGCCATTAAAGAAACAATGGCCCACAGTTGTGTTTCTTATGCTGAAGCATCAAAATTTCATCCTCCCACTTCTAAACTATATTCAGATGTATTAACATCATCATCTCCGTCCAATAAATCTCATTTTCAATCTTCTTTCCTCAAAGAGAAATCATCATTACCACATATTCAATCATCATATAAAAAAACAGTTACACTTAAACCACGCACTCCTCAAAAAGCACAACAAGGATATGATCGTTCTGCCCATGAAGCCTTAGTTAAGGAATATAATATTCCTGCTCCCTCTAATGGTTGTGCATTATCATCAAATAATATTGACAATAATCAATCCATCTTTGATATTATTCTCATGCTTATTAAAGTGTTATCGCAATCGAAAATGATACAAACAACTTTACCACCGTCCAACGATGCCATTTACAATGTATTTTCTCAATTATTAACTTCTCACAATGGATTACAAAGTCCTAATAATTCAGTGGAACTGTCGTAGCATAACAAACAAGAAATCAGACTTATTTTATTTGATTAATAAATATAATCCTTTTATAATAGCTCTCCAAGAGACTTGGTTAAAGCCAGGATATCCTTTTAGGATTTCAGGCTTTACAAGTCTCCGTGATGATAGAGCTGACGGATATGGCGGTGTTGCCATATTGGTCAAAAACTCCCTTCCTTTTTCTTCTTTTTCGCTTCCTGTATATAGCGGCATTAATGCAGCTGCTATAATTATAAATGGTATCTGTTTTGTTACTTTATATATTCCTGATCCTACATGCCAAATATATTCACAACTAGAACAATTATTTTCAATTTTACCTAAACCTTTTCTCGTAATGGGCGATTTTAATGCTCAACACCAATCGTGGGGCAGTTCTACTTCTAATTTTTATGGTGGAAAACTCCTGACGATAATTGACACTTACAACTTATGTATTATTAACTCAGATGTACCAACACGTAGAACTGCACCGAATGAAGGGTTTAGTGCTCCTGACATTTCAATATGTTCTTCTGATTTAGCTTCTTCACTGTCGTGGTATCCTCATTCCTCTACTTTCGGAAGCGATCACTTTCCCCTCATTCTTTCTTTTCCAATTTCCATTCCCTCAAGTCGAAAGAGTGGTCCTCGGCTTAAATATAATTTATCAAATGTAGACTGGAATATTTACAAACAATATTTAGATAATAAAATATCGGAGTTACCTATTGTTTACCATGGAAATGAACATCAATGTTGTAATGACTTGATGATAAATATGAAGGAGGTTGCTGATTTATTATTTCCTGTTAAAAATAGTGCTTCAGGGAAAATTCCCTCGCCACCTTGGTGGGACAAAGATTGTACGGAAGCAATTAAAAATCGTAAAGAGGCTGAAAAAAATTATAATAATTACATGACACCAGAAAATTTTGAAATTTACACCGCAGTTTCACGTTCTACTCGAAAACTACTGAAAAAAGAAATTAGAAGGCTGGAGAAGATTTTGTTCTTCTATCTGTCCAGAAGTTAATTCATCAGTCGTTTGGAATAATATTAAAAGATTCAGATCTGCCTTTAGTGATCATACATCACGTTCTGCACTCGATTTAACTTTAGCGAATAAATTTTTAGATCGCCTTGCTCCTAGTTATGTGCCGGAATGCCTTTACAATATTTCTCTATCCGTCTCTGACGAATTATTCGAACTTGACTCTCCTTTTACTCTAGTAGAACTTAAAGGTGTTCTAGCTTCTATTAAAGACTCTGCACCGGGAGAAGACGGTATACCGTATTCCTTTTTTAAAAATGCTAGCGATGCGACATTAATTTACTTTTTAAATATAATTAATTCCATAATTATTTCGGGAAATATACCTACTTCATGGAAGTCTCAGATTATTATACCATTTCTAAAGCCTCATAAACCACCTTCTGAACCATCTTCATACCGTCCTGTTGCACTTTCCTCTGTCTTACTAAAGCTAGCTGAACATTTAGTGAAAAACCGTCTAGAATGGTTTTTAGAAAGTAATAACTTACTATCCCCGAACCAGTTTGGTTTTAGGAAAGGTAAGAGCACCTTAGATAATGTGAGCATTCTTATTTCAGATATTCATATAGCTTTCTCACAAAAGTTGTCAATCCTCTCAGCCTTTTTAGATATAAATTCTGCCTATGATAATGTAATAATTTCTATTTTAAAAACTAAATTACAAGCTCTAAATGTACCGGTAATGCTTTCTAATTTCATTATTAATATTTTATCAGAAAGAACAATATATATGAATTTAGATGAAGATACCAAATTATCTAGAACAGTATGGAAAGGCCTTCCACAAGGATCTGTTCTCAGTCCAATCTTATTTAACATATACACATACGATCTAGAATTATTCCTTGATAAATCCGTCAAAATTTTACAATATGCTGATGATCTTTTATTATATTTTATTGCGAAGTCCATAGAATCTGCTTCTGCCAAATTATCTGATTCATTAGATTTGTTAAAAACGTGGTTAGATGCAAATGGTCTTAATCTTTCTGTAACCAAGAGTAGTGTAGTTTTGTTTTCAAGAATGAGATCACCGCAACAAATTAAGGTGCTTTATGATAACTCATACATTCCTATAAAGACTGAAATTAAATTTTTAGGTATCGTGCTAGATAATAAATTAACAGGTCTGTCCCACTGTAATTATATTTCTACGAAATGTGAGCGTAACCTCAACATTCTTAGGTGCCTTGCTGGAGTTTGGTGGGGAGCACATCCCGTTTCACTAAAACTTGCTTATAATGGTCTTATAAGGAGTGTCATTGATTATGGAACTTTTTTGTTAGCTCCAGGAAGTTCATTTGCTTTTAAGAAATTGGATTTAATTCAATCAAAGGCCTTGAGGATTATCTCTGGAGCAATGAAATCAAGTCCAATCAATGCTTTACAGCTCGAAGTCGGTGATCCACCTTTGGTTTTAAGAAGACAATATCTATCTGATCGCTTCTTTTTTCGTTGTTTACAATTATCTGATCATCCGCTTATTCAAAAGTTATCTCAACTACATATCTTTATTTCGTCTTCATCTTATTGGAAACATAAAAAACCTCCATGTTTAATACAAAGTTATGAAAAATATAAATCCATAGAATCTCCCACTTTTACATCGTCCTGTTTTCCCATTTATAAATGCTCATATCAATCTTTAGTTTTATCTCCTAATATTAAATATGATTTTGGGTTATTAAAAAATGATTCAGAATTGAATGCCAAATTTATGTTTATAACTGACATTGAATGGAATGAATGGCACTACATCTTTACTGATGCATCAAAACCAGACAATAGCGGTTGTGTAGGTGTGGGTGTGTTTCATTCACAATTTAATATCGTTCAAAAAATTAAACTTCCACCGGAGTCTTCAGTTTTTACCGGGGAATGTTATGGTATTTTAAAAGCTGTAGAATATATACTTTTAATGAAATTACATAAGGCAATAGTTTTCACTGACTCTATGAGCTCTTTGCAAGCTCTAGCCAAATATCCGTTTAAATCAAAACCAGTTTATCCCATTATTTGTGACATAAGACAAAGTCTTTATCTTTGCATGTTGAGAGGGTATTCCGTTTCTTTTGCCTGGTTACCAGGACACAGTGGTATTAGCGGCAATGACAAAGCTGACCTTATTGCAAGAGAGGCTGTAACTTGTGGTGATATGTATCCGTATCATAATTACTGTAGTGACC